AATCGTGGTTTCAGGCGTTTATTTCCACTGAAATGGCGTTTACTGTTCTCCACAAGCTCTCATAAGCTATATAAAGGTTAGAAACGCTGCGCAGTATTCTCTTAACGTGAAGACATTATAATGATTAAAATCAGAATTTTAGCCATGAAAATACTACTTATATGTAATGGAACAGCAAGTCACTTTTTCACGAGAACGAACACTCGGCTTCAAATTGGGTGACGAGACTTGTACAATACTGTTATTATAGTGGTTAAGCTACTCTGAAAAGCCTGTCGTGCACTTCACTAGCTATCATGCCATTCAAAAAAAGCCAGAAACGTTACACACTATTACCTTAAGCGAAAGACATTAAATTGATTCCGTCTGCCCCAAAATACGTTTAAATATAAAGGAAATTACCTAAAATCACATTTTCATAAGAAAGAATACTAATCCTTTAACTTTACACAAATAAAATAAATAAATAAACACAAATAAATGCTTTAGTGTTCTTTCTCATGAAAATGATTCATGGTCAGTACATTACCAAATAGCAAAGTAACGTTGAATCAACGTTGATATCGCGTCATTTTCGTCTTTTTTGGTTGATGACCAAAAATCAACTACAAATCAACGTTGCCATAGGTTGAATCCTTAAACCTTGTTTCAACGTTGAAAGCAAGACGTTGAATCAATGTTGAATTGTACTTACTGTCTTCAACCATAATCCTCTGCTAGCAAATAGGCTGTTTGGCTGAGTGTTGAAACTGAGTGCAAAAACAGCATCTGACCTATGTATGGCAAAGCTCTATGAGACCTGCTTAAAAAAGGTATTGTTTTCAGTGACGTAGGCATTCCTCTGTGGGCTTTGTATGTTATACCATGGTATATGAACAATATGTACTTCTAATGGCTAGGCTCTACTAAGGTTTTTTTTTTTTTGATGGTGCAATATGTATTTCTAAATGTAAATTATGTTGCATATAGTGTTTTCTGACCAAAAACCAAGATGTATTCCTTATGCATGCTAATTTATAAGCATATATTTAAAACAATCAAGCAAGTTTTACTTTGTAAGAATTTTTGAAATAAGCAAAAAAAAGAGGAACATTGCTTTCACCTTTTATCAACTTCATAGCACATGTGAATGCACTACCTTTGTTAAAAAGGCCGCTTTTAAGAATCATAAAAAACAACTGAATCCCCTAAATCTCAAAACCATCTCAAAATCCCTGAAATAAAACAATGTAACATGGGGCTACTTCTTTAAACAAGTAAAAAAGTTGACTATTGACACAACATTGTAACAATTTAATCATTGACTTTTTGTACTTATTTTGTGCCATAAATTACTTAAATAAGATAAAAATCCTTAGTGAGAGTTTCAGCGAAGAAAAGATTATTTCAGACCAGTAAAACACGTAATGGGCGGAGCTGTCCGGTCTGACCCCGCCCCTTGTAGCGCTAGTCTCTCGAAATTCGATGTGACCGTTAAGCCAAACGCGACCGTTTCCAGCTCTTTATATTCAAATCATACTCACCAAATGAACGATACCTGTTTAACTACAATTCTATTAACCTGGTACAGTAAAACCTCTTCACAACATTCGCTTATGCTCATTACTTAGATGACTGATGCGTGATGACAGAAACTGCAGCTCCAAAACACTGAAGACTCTTCTCACCGAGCGCTAACGCGTATACCTTACTGGATCATGTGGAATGAGGACGAACTCACTTCTTCTGCTTGTAAAAGGTGAGCAGCGGTGAAATAAGGTTTAAAACCACGGTCACGATTGAATTTCAGCTTACATACTCTTAGCTGTGTCTGTCAGCCGACACTACCTTTTGGGTAAGTTAGTTTAACGCTAGCATAATCTTAGTTTAGCGAAAGCTAGGTCGCCTGCCTGTAACCCTTGATGTTGCTTAGCAACCCCACAGCGCGGCTACGGCATTTAGGAAGAGCAGGAATCGCTCTGAGCTGATGTGGAGCTACAGCTGAGTAAGCTAACAGCTAGCTACGTTTGTGTAGGTAGCAGAAGGCAGATAAAACATTTAGGAAGGTAAATCAAAGAAACATCCCTCACGCAGAGAATTAGGATAGTAAATTAAAGTGTCAGATGTATAACTTTATGCTAGTTTAGTCTGCACTACACTGAGATTTTAGGGGTTTGGCTTAAACTACTAAGTCACTTTGTGGTAAAACTACTATCAGTATGGTTTGCTGCAGTATATTAAAATGCTTCATGTCTGTATTTTATTTCACAGAGCTTTGGAAATCACCAGCAGAATGACTGGTAAGACTGAAATGACGTTTTGACTAATATGGACCTAACAGTCAAGCTGATTATTATAAAGATGTGTGTCAGTGCCTTAGAAATACAGCACCTTCATGAAATCTTAAAGCTACTTTCGTTATTCTAACATTTTGTGTTACAGCCTTAAAAGAAAACTGATTACAGTCGAGGGGCAGGAATCTCTTGGCACAATGTGATATGATTTGGTTTGATTGGATTTCAATTTAAAATAATGCCAAGATGCAATTATAAAACCATTCTTGTTCCCTGTTGCTACATGTTGATGTGTCTTCATTTTTATTTCTAAAGTCTATGATTTTTAATCATTATCATTAACATGGTTTGATCCAGCTTATTTTTTGGCTTCTGTATTTTTAACATCAGCTGGTTTAATTAAATTGTTTTATGAAAATCATTTTTTTATTTTTCTATTTTACCTTGTTTTACTTTGTTCTTTAGTTGATGTGCACAAAAGCAACTTGTGTGCTGGAGAAACCTCAGACTGCTATGGGCTCTGCTTGAGTAAATGAGTAAGTCGATATGCTTAACATAAAAAATGTTTTCCATTGTTATAGCAGAGTTGCTTTGGAATTCTGCTACAGATGACTGTAGTAAACCAGCAACTACTATATTTTTATTATTATACACCTCATCTGAAACATCGGGACACTTGAGCTGTGTGTAAAATGCTGAGAATTCTCTATCCATACAGAATAGCGGTACACAATAAAAATATCCTGGTACTGTGCATACAGTTGTGTACTGTTAATTGATTCACAAAGGGTTGAATTTTTACCTGGAAAGCAATTTTTTTCAGACCCCTTAAAATCCGAACACTGACTCAAACAAACATATATCCAGAGATTTTTATCACTAATAACACCAGAGAATTTTGAGAAATGTTGTACATGCATACTCAGCTGTCACTGTGTCTTAAGATGTCTTGACAGTATTTATAAGATGTCTTGAGACATTTTTTTATGCCAAGACGTCTCAAGAAACCTCTTCAGAACATCTTAAGACATTTACATTTACATTTATGGCATTTGGCAGACGCTCTTATCCAGAGCGACTTACAGTGTGATCTACACAGGTAGGCGAAGGTAGTGTTAGGAGTCTTGCCCAAGGACTCTTATTGGTATAGTGTAGAGTGTTTACCAAGGTGGGGTTTGAACCCCAGTCTACAGTGTAGAAGGCAGAGGTGTTACCCACTACACTATACCAACCACCAATACCAAGACATATGAGTGAAGACACTGTCTTTGTCTTGAGACATGAAAGTTAACGTCTTAAGACAAAGAAGTAATTATTTTGTGTGTCTTGAAGACGAGGCATAACTTAAGACATCACTTTGTCTTAAGACATAGAGATGTTGTGTCTTAAGACAGTTCAGTTGAGACCAAAGAGTGGTCCATTACAAAAGGTCCTGTGGTATGAGTGTGGTATTCCTGTGATACTGCCAAACTGAAAATTACTACTGAGGATTACCACAGCACTGCCTAATGTACAATATAATGAGAATATAACTATATAAGAGAGAATATAAGTATGTCCTCAAGAAACAGCCTGCTGTAATCTTATGGTTTTTGTGTGATATTACTAAAAGAATATTCACAAAGGTTTTACTTGCTGTACTTTTGTGATTCTTTTTTTTTGTATGTTTTGTTTTTTGATTATTGCAGAAATGTGTTTACTGTGGCAAAATAGCAAAAGAAAAAATCAATTCTTAAACCATTTACCTTACCTTAAAATGTTTAAACTCATTTCCAAACTCATTTCATTGAAGTTCATGGTAGAATAACTTTTAATTTGTAACATTTACCAAAGGAGATAATCACAGTCAGTCACAGCCTTTTGCTCATTTGCAGAAAACATGCTATGATTAAAACAACATTGATCTATTTTCAAATGTACAACTGTAACCAGAGACAACAAGCTAGGAACCAAGATAAAACAACTTTGTGCTAATAGGAAGTAAATGTACTTAACAGCTAACCTGAGCACTTTAGAGATCTCATACCACCAAAACTTAATGCAAAAAAAAGCACTTGGTTCACTCTCTTCAACATCTACACTTCTGTTTATTTTCTTAAGCAGATCAGAGCTGCCCAAAGTTAGACTTTTAATTTGTATAACTTTCAAAATTATTATCTCCAGTATTTGGAAAACACGAACAATAATAAACAAATATATCTGAGTAGTAATATATAAAGACCTGTATTGTTTCACCACCTAAAATTACATAATAAACAGATTTTTGTTTAAATGTCCAACTTCATACTTTGACTTTAATATATTAAGACATGGCCTCCAGTGATGCTGTATGATAATGCTGCACAGCTGTCTTATGTATTTCAAGGGTTTGCAGTTTTCTATTCTGTGTCTAGATTAAAAAAACAAACAAACAAAAACATAGCAGCACAGTTCATTCAGTACAGCAGAGCCGTGCGAACCAGAAAAAAAGATCTATGGGAGGACAAACAAAAGACTGGCGGGAGTTTAGACCAATCAGAGCGCGGGACTCCGCCGCTTGGACGTTCGGTTTTGAAGCGCGAGCGCTCTCCGCCGTTCCTCCGTTTAAAGCCAAACGCGGCCGTTACAGCCGTTACAGTGAGCGGGTCTCTCAGGTCGCTACCGCGGGCAGTTTATCGAGTTTGTTTAGCGAGTGTTAAACCTCGATAAGACCGTCTCTTACACTCCTTACTAAGACAGCGCCGCCTGCCGGGTGACGCTTTCAGCTCCCAGAAACGAGGATTTTCAGCTGCGTAGCTGACTAACGATAACTACTGACTGGACCGAGTGGAGTGGAGACTGGTTTTACGACTGGAGTCCCGACTGCAGCGGTCAGAGTCTGCTTTTAAAAGGTGAGTAGTGACAAAATGAGATGAGCAGCCTCACTGACAGTCAGCTGGAGTAAACTTTTGTTTCTGTATTTCTGGGTTGATCTGCCGAGTGAAGACACCAGCGGTAGGTTAGCGTATGTAGTTAGCTAGCTAGCGGCTAAGCGGCGTGTCTGTTTACGCCTCGCGGCTGCGTCAGATCTCGCTTGGCACGCGCTCCAAATGAAAGACTGCCTCAGAAATAAACCTAAGACTGAACACAGTGCAGTAGGGTCAGCACACTGATCACGGTGCAGCAGGGTCAGCGCCCTGATCACAGTGCAGCAGGGTCAGCGCACTGATCACAGCGCAGCAGGGTCAGCACACTGAACAATACAACAATGAAACTGAACATAGTCCGTCAGTCTGTGTGGTTCAGAGAGGGTAGTAATAATTTTAATTTGCTCAGTTACATTTACTCTAGTAACGTCTTGGTGGATTTGTACTTTCTAGAGTATTTTTAAAATGTATTATCTGTGCTTTAGATTAATAATCTATGTTTTACTCGGCTACGTTTATTAGTAATATATAATGACCAGTTTGTTTTGTGTTTTTCATTGTTATGCCTTACTGTTGTTGTTTTGCTGCATTTACCTCATGTGTCTGTTTTGTTTTAGATGTTTCTCATCAGAAATCATCTGAAGCTGAGCAACTGGTGAGACTCAAGTTTTTTTTTAAATGAAACTATAAGAATGTCAGACAGATGTTTAGATTTGGTGGGTATTTCAAATTCATAATTCATGAAGTATTTATGGTAATACAGAAGAGCAGAATGTTTAGGTAAAGCCAGGTTACAGTATTCAAATATCTGCGCTTTGTTCACTCAATTTATTAATATGTTATTTGCCATTACAGGTGTGTTCAAAATATCGATATGGCAATATCACCAACACTATGTCAATATTTATGAATTTACTTCTTCACAGTGCTTTAATGTGTGTTACTGCAAGTCTCAGAGCCCTACAATTTATAGCATAAAGCATGTGGTAAACACGATCTAATAGAGTTCAGCTCTTATTAATAATCATTTCATGTAATAATTCTCTGTGAGAGAGATTAGAGGCATTGAACTCTTCAAACGTCTGGTTCTTGTCACTGCCACTATGAACAACTCTGACTCTGTAAGTTTTTCCACAGTGGAACATTTTGTATCAAACTATTTTTTGGCATCTTAATGATGAAATTGTGCTTAAAAATCATGTAATTCTTCTTTAACACAGCTTTTAACAGATACAGATATCAGTACTAAGCTCACACCTACCTCAATAGCAAATGATCATTTCTGTCACGTGTTGACTGAGGCATGTTAGAGGATGAAAACAATAGAATTGTGAATTATCTAATCAACTTTGTTGTTTTCAATCCTTCCCAAGGAACATTCTCTCTTTGGGCCTCATCCAGTATGGTGGCAGTCCATATCATTTTCAACACTCAACTGTGCTCTTACACAAGTGGCCTCATCCTGATGCTTCTTTCATTACACTGAAAATCATTGTCTGAACATCAGCTATGCGTGTGAGCTGGGTGCCACACTGGAGTTCATGCATAGGTATTATTTAAAGCCTTGTCACATTTCTTTGTGTACTAAATGCCTGAGTTGATTTTAGATGAGTAAAATTATGTATACTGTACATTATATTCTACTTATAAAGGGAATATATAATGCTTTCCCTTTTATTTACTGTGTTATGTAGCTTTTTGTGCATGCAAGATACAAAGCTGAAAGTATATGCCAGAGGGAGAAATTCTTTCCCACAGAAACCACTTTTCTCAGCTGCCTGAGGCCTGGAGTTCCCCAGCCCTTTTCCTTTGTTACAAGAGGATGTAATCCCATAACACAATCCTTATTGCCCACCTACCAGCAAGCTTGGCACGCCCTCACACAACGCAACGCATCTACCGGAGCCCGTGTATTGGCGGAACCACTCTGGTGCTTGATCAGTCAGAGCCAAGTGAGTGAGCTAACTAATCTGAGCATACTGGGCTCATCAGGAAGGAGGGGCTTAAAGACACTGAGGCTCTAACAGAGCGTTTCAGACAGAGGGTGAGTAAACAATTACAGTATGAGAAAAATAATGTGTTTCTGGAACACTGAAGCATGTAAATGTATTATAGTAGACCCCAAAAATAAATGTATGAACATTGGAAATTAGCATAACAGGTCCCTTTTAAATTCAGCCTGCTTGTGTATGCAGATCCAAAAGTAATTTCAAATTTATTGTCTTAAAATTGATTTTTTAACAGATGCATTTTCCTCATATCTCTGACAAAGAAGACCAACACTGAGAAAAAACAGAGGAAGAAGCGATGGGCTGTGAATCTGACAGTTCTCTCACTCATCACGGATTTAACTCTGAAAGGAGAGATCGGTAACATTAGCAGTGCGATATCAGTAATGTTAGTGTTCAGGCATTACGGCATGGACATATGCACACTGAGTTATCTGTGTCCTGTTTCCTGTGTCCACATATGTCCACAGCTTGACTCTATTCCAGCTACCAGCACATCTGAGTCTGGTATTAATTGTTTGACAGCTGATCATTATCTGGCTCAGGTATGTTATGAGTACTGCTGGGGTTCAGACCTCTGTATTACTCTGTTGGTCAGTTTTTCTTTTTAGTCCATATTAATTTGTCTTAAAATTGTTTCCTATCATTTATAATTGTTCATAGTACTATATTGTTAATAACCTCAGCATAACTTATATACGGAATAACAGCAGGCCTTAAAATCAGATTCATTGGTTTGTGGAACCAGTTAACATGTTTTTCTCTTTCTGTAGAACATATCAAGTGTGATGACGCTATTGTACTGTGCATATACACAGTTGTAAAAACAATAAACAATAACTGTAATTATATTTTTTGAAAGCTATGTGGGTGCTTTTTCATGGGCTATGCTTTGGATTGCAGAGTAAATTATTTGAATGTAGAAGTATTCTGAATTTTTAACAGATTAACAAGGAAATACAAAACTGTAAAATAGTGATTTTCCATACCCCTTTAAATTACTTTACTGTAATTTATGCATACTTATTATTGTTCTTGTTCTCCTTATTATTATTTTAAAAGTTGATAAAATGATACCTTCATTAAAAATGAAGCAACTGTAAAATAGTCTGTAAAAAAATGTATTTAACACATTTTACCACATTTTTAAAACATTAAGGGTTAATTACTATAAAAAGGTATTTAAAAGAACTGAATTAAATTTTTAAATTTTGCTGCAACACTGTATTACAAAATAGTTGCATAAGAGTCTTCTCTCATACTACCACCATGTTGAAGGCATGGTATGAACTCACAAATAAACTTTCATCATATCACTGATTCCATAAACTTTTCTAATGCAGCAGAAACATTTAAAGGAGAATTCCACATTTTTCTAAACTTGGCATAATTCTGTCATTGCGATGTAAACAAAATCATTTAGTGGTTTCATATAAAATGGCTTATTGTAGAGAAAGCTACAGACTGGGAACCATGTGCCTATTATTATTATTATTACTTTTGTTGTTAAATTTGTTCTGAAATGTATAAATGTAGTATGTACTAATGTATGTAATGTTTGTATGTTTATAAAATGATATGCAATATATTAAAATAAATGATACCATTATGCATCCTACATAGAACAAAAAAATTAACAAAAAAAATAATTACTATAATTTTAACTATAAATAGTGTTACATTTTAAAATTCCCTTTTAAAAGTAAAAGATTTGTTTAAAAAAATGTAGGTAAAATTTAAAAATACATATTATACATCCTACATCTTGAGACGTCTTGAGATGTTATTATTGCCAAGACATCTTAAGATCCGTGTCTATAGACACGTCTTAAAGACATGTCTTCATGTCTTAAGACATGCCTCAAGATGTCCTAAGACATCTTCATAATGTGTCTTTAGACATGTCTTAAGACATCTCAAGACATGGTGATGGCTGGGTATGTGTTTGCAACTTCATCACTGTTTACAAGCTTTGAAAGGGTCTCTTTCAAGTAAATACGTACTTTATTCAAAACATACTTATTTATATTGATTTCTTAACACAACTGGAAGTGTACAGTAGTAGTATTAGTATTAGTAGTAGTAATAATAATAATAATAATAGAAGGATGTGATTATACTTAAGTAGCACATAGAGTATATTCACATAACACTGAGTGAAAAATGTTTGTTTTTGTGCAGATTAACTCTGGTGAAGGGGCACCATTTCACTAAATCAGGAAAGAATCAATGGAGATGGAGTCTTAATGGTTTAAAGAAAATGACCAACAGGTGCTTGATGGGGAGAAGCTATCCCACCACAAGTGAGTGTATGTATATATACACACACAGGTTGCGTTATTTGGTACACCTACCTACACTCAGGCTACACTCACTGCCAATTTTTTAGGTCCACTTACCAAACAGGAGCACTTTGTACATCAGATTGTAGTCCATCTGTTTCTCTGCATACTGTATTAGTTTCCTTTTACCCTGATATTCAGTGGTCAGGACCCCCACAGGACCACCACAAAGCAGGTATTATTTGGGTGGTAGATGATTCTCTGCACTGCAGTGACACTAATGTAGCGTGCTTTGCTGTTTTAATTCATAAATGGATCAGAACTTTTTGAGCAAAGTCAGATCTGCATCTGCATGCGGCAGGATGTTTAGAAGGACCAATAGTAAATTTATGGCTGACTGCTAAAGAGACGTCTCACAGCCCATTTGCTGCTTTTTGGCAACCTGGTGCAGAAGTGGGGAGGGGGTGGCTCACCTCAGAATAGACCTACTTTGACCCAGAGGTCTGAAGACTTCCTTTTTCTTTTGACTAACAGTTTAAGGGCAACATAATGGAACGTCATGCCACCCCTTTATAAACATGCTGAAGAGACCTTTGGACATCGCTGAAGTAAATTTTGGGATACTGATAAATCGGGACTTTCGAAAATTCCTTTCCCTCTCTCTCACACCCATACATCTCACCTTCCCCCACAAAGAGAGACATCTAACCTAAACAAAGGCCAAAGATGGCCCACCAATCAACTCTGGGTGAGGGGACTGTTGAGACCTCACGGATCCCTGAGCAGACCCCTCGGTGTGGCCAGATACTCTTAAGTGCATTCCTTCAGTATCATAAATTTGGGGTTTGTGCAGAGGCTAGGCTCCTGAGAGCCCTGCTTTCTGGCAAAGTATTCACAAGGTGATCTTTAATCAAGTATCAATCAAATGCCTTTCCTTTATCAAACTGTGAAGAACACCTCTGTTACTGTTAACATGTTGCCTTGTCAGGCGTCAATTGATTAATCCCTGCCAAAGGGAATTCATACCTAACTTTCTACACTATGTTCTTTTATATTCTAGTAGTTATTTTGATTCTTGAATTGTAACCCTTCCTCACTGATCTAGGTTATTGTATTGATCTTTGATCATTTGCAACTATGTTCATTTCACCCATTATATAATTTTTCTTTTTCTTTTGTTTGAGAAACAACCCATGTATTTCGTGATCACTGTTAATCTTATATATCTGCTTTTCTTGCAAGTCTTCTTGTAGTGTTATTAGAAGTAGGATTCTAAAGTTTGTAGCTTGTGTGACTATGTACACTTTAATCATAGAGTTTCTCCCAACATATCTACAGAATTATTGATGATTACGTACTCACTTATTTTACTCTGAGTTATTATGTAACCGTTCATGTAAGCATTGTTTAGAAATAGTAATGTGACGTATGACCTCGGAATTGTCTTAACAATTTAATTCTTTTGACTAAGTAGTTCCTACTTCTTATATGACTAGAATGGTTAAGGATTCAACTTATTGTATGTAACCATATCATGGTTTACGTTAAGGGATAATGATCTGTATGCTCCATAGTCATTTGCAATAGTCGCTATGGGAACAATAATGTTTTATATGTGAAATTGCATGCTTCTTTTACTTAAGTGTAACCACACCCAGAATCTCCAAAGGATTATGTGACACTTGAGCAGCATTCAAAGAAATTGCATATTCATTATAGGTAACCTAACCTTAGCTTAGCTCTGCCTTAGCTCCGCCCCTCAAAGTTCTTTCTTTAAAGCCAGCAAGAAAGAGAAACAGTGAGGAGGAGAACGAGAAGAAGAAACAGAGAGACAGGGAAGGTTGGCCCTGAAGGGAGCGAGACAGCCAACATGTAACCTTAACGGAACTCCAAGTATAGAAGCCCGTTCTCCTCGTTTTGCACTTTAGCTAAGCTCTGCAAATCTTAAATGTTAGTTGTTTGTCTTGTGTCTTAATCCGTTTTGTTTCATTTACTCAGTAATCTTAAAGTGTTGTAACTGTAAGGTTAGACTATTGAAGAGCTGCATCTAGCTGCGTTTGTTTTTCAAGTTTTGTCAATCTATTTTGAAAGTCTAATTGCCAACGATAGGCCCTCAGAACCTAGTTTTAGAACAGAAACAGAAGCAAAACAGTGCTGACTGAAATCCACATCAAGAGCCTGCTCCGACCACCGCCTGCCTCCATCGCCAAGAAGAAGATCTGAGTTCCTCACCGGAGAGGCCGCCAAGCGTCGCCGGAAGCCTGCCTTGCCAGTGGGGTCCGGTCCAAAGCATTGACCAAGGGCTTGCACCTCTAACGGCCTTGCCTTCGACCTGCAGACTGTTCCTAGCCTGTGTGAGCAGCGGCTTCTCTTCCTCAACGTGGCATGCGCATCAACACGGCTCTGAGGCGTCCAGCAGCTTTGACCTTTGACCTGCGGACCCTGCTCCAGCCCATGCCAGCAGCGGCCTCTCTTCCCCTCAACGCGACACTCACATCACACAGCTCTGAGGCATCCAGGTCGTAGATTCACTCGCACTGCCCTTTTGTGGTCTCAGTCTCACTGTGATTTTGCTTTTCTTTATTGATACTTAGGCCAGCTTTACACTAGTGTCAGGGTTGTTCTGCTTGCTGCTGAAACGCCACATAATTTGGAAAATCAGCTAATCTTAGTACTTTTGTTCAGTATATTCAATATCTCTGGTTTCTTTACATAACTAGTAATCCAATATTTAGTACCTATATACCTTTGTAATTGATTGCTTTATATTTATATACCTCTATCAATAAATAACCCTTTATTACAGTCATCTCTGTCATGGTGTGCATATGAAAAACTTCAATTTGGTTTTATTCCCTGGACCATGGTCAAGCCCTCACTTGAATTTAATTAAAATACCCGTGTCTTACGGTAAGTGGGAAATTAGGTGCTTTTGAGGCCTTGTCCCGCTATACTAACATGACGGTGACATGGTAGTGGAATGTTATTGTGTGTTATGTGTGCTGCACTAAGTGGATCACACACAACAGCTTTTTTAACTACTCAGAGTCACTGCTGGCTGAGAACAGTTGGCCAAACAAATGTGTCCAATGTTTTGTGTCCAGAAACTGAACACTGATTAGATCAAGAGGAAAACTAATGCAAACTGTGCAGCAACAGATGAGCTATACTCTACTACTTTACATGTATATGGTGGAACGACAAGGTAGTTGTGTCTAAAGCAGCAGACAGTGGAAGAGGAGCTAACAAAGTATGCAGAGAAACAGATGGACTACAGTCTGTAATTGTAGAACTACAAAGTGCACCTATGTGGTAAGTGAAGCTGATACAGTGGACAGGGGTTTTACCTAATAAAGTGGCCACACACACACACACACACACACATAGTTGTATGCAAACATTGGGTTAATTTTCTGAGTGAAGATAAGTTCATATTTTTATGCACAAATACTGTGTATTTACTAAATTTAACATAAGATTAAAAAAGAAAAAAAAACATAAAATGTGGCCCATGCAAATGTCATAGTGTGGTAAGCTTGGTCGCCACTTTGGTGGTGGTGTGGTCAATAAGTGGTCTGGAGGCTCCCCATTCAACACTTTTGGACATCAGAACTCAATTCCACAGTGCTCTGAAGTTTATTGTGGTTTTTGCACACAAAAGTATTTACACTCGCGAGAGAAAAATTAAAAGAAAACAAAGCTGTAGCCAAATGAATCCACTGACTCCGCAGTCAGCATCCAGCAACCATTTGCCTCACACAGAACTAAAACGATTCTGTTGCATTGGGTCTGAGGCTGCAAAGCCACACAGACCTACCCCAAACATACTTCAACTCCTCCATTGTCCCCCTTCCCTTTTAACTTGGTAGCCCCGCACACATTAACTCTGGGTCATACCATTATCCACAGTCTAGGGGTGACAATAGAACAGACAATACACACATAAATCACCTATATACATACATACAATGGCCATTTTCTTCATATATACACATGCATACTTATCTTAGAAATGATTGTTAAACTAGCTATATTTAACATTATATTTTCTTCTTTACAGGTACCAGCGACCTGGCTCCCACCTCGCCTGGGTCCCCCAGGACCTCAGGTAAGTAGAAGTTTAAATTACGTGCCTGTCAAAATAAAAGTCACCATAGTATTTATTGAGGGAAGGTGAATTGTAGTCCTGGTGAGACACATAGCACTTTTTATATTTTGCCTTTTATTTTTTTCAACATGTTAAACTTAGCAAAAAAATAGAAATTGTGCACTAAAACATGCAGGAAATGGCATATTTAAATGCATTCCCCATAGAGAATGTATTTAAAAACAGGGATATTCAAACCTTTTGTACACACAGCCCTATGTTGATAATATTATGTTAGTAATATTATACTGAGTGAAAAATGTTTGTTTCTTGTACAGATGGGGGGAAAGAGTACCTTTTCAGTGGAACAGAGGAGAATCAGTTGAGATAGAGTTCTTGTCCAAAAGCTAAGTCTGAGGTTTACAGCAAAACAGCCAACAGGAGCTTGGAGGGAAAAAGCTGTCCCACAACAAAAGCCCAGCTCAAGAACCCCTAGAGACCAGAGAAGTTTGGAGCTTTAAAAGGTACGCTCTCTGTCTCACACACACACACACATTGCCATTCGCCTACAATACAGGTTCCAAACCCTGATCCTGGAGAACCCTTACGCTGCACATTTTAGTGTTTTTTGCCCAGACACGCCCACTTCAGGGCTGTTAATGAGATAATTATTTAACCCCTAAAATATGCAGGGCAGAGAATACTCCAAGACCAGAGTTGGGAACCTGTGGCCTACATCATCATGTGCCTACAGGACATAAAATAGACATAAAAGTTTTCAAAATGGTTGGGTGCTGTGCAAAATGTGAATGAAAACAGAATGCAGTGATGTGTAAATCAGTCCTATATTTAATTGAAAATATTACGAAGACAACATATCAAACACTGAAACTTAATGTTTTTTGTTTTTTTTAATATATATGCCCATTTTGAATTCAACACGAGTCAAAAAAAGTTCTGACAGGGGCAACAAGAAGACTGGTAAATTTGTGTAATGCTAAAAAAAGCACAGTGGAACATCTCACAAGTATATAAGAGAATCCAGAGAAATCTCTGTATGCAATATTGGATGGCTGTGATCTACAGGCCCTCAGGCAGCACTGCATTAAAAACAGACATGATTCTGTAGTGGAAATCACTGCATGGGCTCAAACACTTCTGAAAAACACTGTGAAAACAGTTTGTGGCTGCATCCACAAATGCAAGTTAAAACTCTAAAACGCAAAGAAGAAACTAAATATAAACAGCATCCAGAAATTCTGCCATTTAAGATGGACTGAGGTGAAGTGGAAAAGTGTCTTGTGGTCCCACGAGTCAAAATTTGAATTTGAATTTTTTTTGGAGATCATGGATGCTGCGTCCTCTGGGCTAAAGAGGAGAGGGACCATCTGGCTTGTTATCAGCACAAAGTTCAAAAGTCAGCATCTGTGATGGTATGGGAGTGCATTAGTGCACATGGCATGGGTGACATGCACATTTGTGAAGGCACCATTAATGCTAAACGATATATGCTGCCATCTAGATGATGTCTTTTTCAGGGAAGGCCTTGCTTATTTCAGCAAGACAATGCTAAACCACATTCTACACGTATTACAGCAGCATGGTTCCATAGTAAAAGAGTCCGCTTGCTAAATTGGCCTGCTTAAAGTCTAGACCTGTCACCATTGACAACATTTGGTGCATTATAAAGTGAAAAATATGAGAAAAAATACAAAGGAGATCCTGAACTGTTGAGCGGCTGAAATCCTACATTGAGCGAGAACAGGAAAACATTTCACTTTCAGAACAGCAACTGGTCTTCCCAGTTCTTAAACACTTACAGAGTGCTGTTAAAAGGTGATGCAGCACAGTGGTAAACATGCCCCTGTCCCTGTTGAAATGTATTGCTGGCAACAAATTCAAAATGGGCATATATTTTTCAAAAACAATAACATTTTTCAGTTCGAACATTTGATGTGTTGTTTTTGTACTATTTTCAATTAGGGTTTGTACTATTTTCAAAGGGTTTATTGCTCCCACATCATTACATTGTTTTTATTTTGATTTTGCACCGTGTCCCAACTTTTTTGGAATCTGGGTTGTATACCCAAATGTCCTCAAAATAAAAACTTTTTTTGAGTGTTCATGGTTCTATATAAAACCATTTTCTTTACCAAAGAACCCTTGAAGAACCATCTTTTTTTTACATGTGTAGCGTAATCGTATCCCAATCACCTCACTTTAAAAAGGTGTTCCACCGTCTAATATGTATCCCTTTCACTTGCATTTGTTTCAGCTGCTCCCCAGAAGTAAATTACAGGAAGCACCAAGCTGGCATCTGTTGTGAAAATAATATGTGCCAGAGAGGGAAAGGAGAATACCAAGAAGGACATCAGGTATGGTCATTTTGTTTTGATTCTTTTTGTCAAGCAACATATATAGGCCGCAATTGCATTAAATTAATATGATGTGCACTTTCTGTCTGTTGTTGTCTTTATTTGTTAGGTGCAGTGCAGCAGGAGCATTCCCACAACTTTTGATCACACTCTCCTATGAGAAAACTTTAACAAATTTTATAAAAATAAAAGTGCTTTCATCAAATAGTTTCATGTGTTGTTGTTGTTGTTGTTGTTGTTGTTGTTATTATTATTATTATTATTATTATTATTATTATTATTATTATTATTAAATTGAGTATATTAGTATTGTTATTTGTATTGTTGTTGTTGTTGTTGTTGTTGTTGTTGTTGTTGTTATTGTTATTATTATTATTATTATTATTATTATTATTAGACAACCATATTTTTAGAAATCCCGTTGTACATAAAACAGGGTTATATGTGTGATGTAAACACTGAAACAGCCTCACTATAAGCAATGTTTAGACAAAGGTTGAAATGGAGTTGATACGGCGTCTCGTTTCAACGGATTTTCAATGTTGATTCAACGTTGAACAGTATGTGCACTTTTCCGTTGAATCAACGTTGATTCAACAGTTCTGCGTTGAACTGGACAACGGTGAATCACCGTTGTTTCAACGTTACTTTGCTATCTTGGTAAAGTGTGTTTTATGGCAGAAATATCTGTTCTTAATCATTATAATGTATTCGCGTTAATAACATCCTGTATAGCGGTTCTAGACCAATGTCTTCATGTTAAGAGAATACTGCATAGCATTTCGAGACTTTGTAAAGCGTTTGAGCGCTTCTGCAATGCAGTCAACGCCTTTTCAGCAAAACACAGCGTTTACAACAAAGAAATCATACCCTACACAGTTCGTAACTTATGTTAAAGCTTTTGTGTTCATTCTCATGAAAATGTGATTTACAGTCATTAGTTTTACATATAAAGTGTGTTTTATTGTAGAAATGTCTGTTTATAATCATTAAAATGTCCTCACGTTAAGAGGATCCTGTAAAATTTTCTGAAGCGCTTGAGAGCTTTCAGAGTGCAGAAAATGCCTTTTTAGTGAAAACAAACGCCTAAAAGCAAGATTGAATGATTGCACAGATCTTGTCACACAAATGCTTTAGTGATCTTTCTCATTAAACTGTGATTTGCGGTCAGTACCTTTACATATAAAGTGTGTTTTATGGCAGAAATGTCTGTTCATAATCATTATAATGTTTTCGCGTTAACATCCTGTATAGCGGTTCTAGACTTTCTAAAGCTTTTGAGCGCTTGTGGAGTGCAGCAAACACCTTTTTAGTGAAAACAAACGCCTTAAACCAAGATTGAATGATTGCACAGATCTTGTCACACAAGTAAACGCTTTAGCGTTCTTTCTCATGAAAATGTGAATTACGATCAGTGCCTATACATATTTTATGGCAGGAATATCTGCTCATAATCATTATAATGTCTTTACATTAAGAGGATACTGTATCGCGCTGCTAGACTTTCTAAAGCGTTGGAGCGCTTGTGGAGTGCAGTAAACGCATTTTCAGTGTAAATAGACGCCTAAAACAACAATTTCATGATTGTACAGCTGTAGTCACCCAAGTTAATATTTTACTGTTCTTTCTCATGAAAATGTGATCTTAGTTCAGTTCGTTTGTAAACAAAGAGTGTTTTGTGGCGGAATTATCTGTTTATAGTCATTATAATGTCTTAACGGTAAGAGAATAATGCATAGCGATTCCAACCTTTCTGAAACGTTTGAGCGCTAATGCAGTGCAGTAAACGTGTTTTAAGTGAAACTTAGTGTCTACAACAAAGATGTCAGTATTGTACACAGTTCGTCACCCATGTTAAAGCTTTAGTGTTCATTCCCATGAAAACTTGATTTACGGTCTGTTACATTACATACAATGGGCATTTCATGACAGAAATGTCTGTATATAATCATTTTAATGTCATCACGTCAAGAGAAGATTACACAGCAGTTCTAGCCTTTCTAAACTGTTTGAGCGCATCTAGAGTGTAGTAAACGCCTTTTCAGTGTAAATAAACACCTGAAACCACGATTCCATGATTGTACAGGTGTGGTCACCCAAGTTAATGCTTTACTTTTTTTTCTCCTGATAATGTGATATAAGGTCTGTTTCTTTGGAGACAAAGGGTATTTTATGGCAGAAATATGTGTTTATAATCATTATAATGTCTTCAGTTTAAGAGAAAACTGCATGGCGTTTCAAGCCTTTCTAAACCGTTTGAGCTCTTGTGCAGAGCAGTTTCAGTGTAAACAAACGCCTAAACCACAATTTAATGATTGTACAGGTATAGTCACACAATATAAAGTAGTCAAATTTTTCCTCTCGAAAATGTGATTTACAGTCTGGTTCATTGCATTTAAAGCGTATTTCATGGCAAAAATGTCTGTTTATAATCATTATAATGTCTTCGCGTGAAATAAATACTGCATAGAGGTTTTACCTTTCTAAACCGCTTGAGCGCATCTGTAGTGCAGTAAATGCCTTTTCCGTGTAAATGAACACCTGAAACCACGAAACCATGATTGTAAAGGTGTAGACACCCAAATTAATTCTTAACTGTTATTTCTCATTAATATGTCACATTAGGTAAGTTTCTTTGGAGACAATGGGAACTTCATGTGAGAAATGTATGTTTATAATCATTATAATGTCTTCAAGTTCAGAAAATACTGCATAGCATTACTAGCTTTTCTACAGGGACAATAATGATGAAATGAAAGACCTAACACTCAGGCAAAGTTCCAGTTACATGAGTCAGCCACTTGGACTCTAAAGAATAAAATTTGTGATAGGAGCTCTGTGGCAAGGTCCAACCATAGTATAACTGACACAAAATCCCTTTAAATAAGGCCAAGACCCAACCTCTTAGAATAGGAACTCAAATATTTGAATGGTAATTTGGAGGCCAGAGCCCAGGTTCTTTTAACTGCACTTCTGAACAGAAGCCAACGATGAAATTTCAACGACATCTCTGAGCCAACACCCAGTATGAGTCATTTCATTTTGAAAGAGTAAGATGGAATATGAGCCCTTAAACACAGGCCCAGAAGCCTCTATCGTATTAAAATAGAATAGGGAATTAAAATTCTGGAGAGAAGACAAAGTAACTATGACCCAGATATTTATCCTTAAAAAAACATTTCATCTGAGCTTTTAGCCAAAGGTCATGGGCCCACTCTCTATTACAAAACCCTTAAGAATAGTGACAATGATATTATAATGGGAGCTTCGAGCCTTTGGGTCCATGAACCAAAATCCCAACCTCTTCAGAAAGCTGAAAAAAAAAATTGTGAATGCAGCTCTGAAACCCATGCAAGCATCTGCTAACAACGATCCAGCCATTTAGCCTGCAAAGAATAAAATGTGGAATGGAAGCTCTGAGGCCTAGGCCCAGTGTTCTCTGGACAACATAAAACAACTTAGAAAATAGAAAATAAATTTCTTTGGGAATGAGTTTTGAGTATGAGATACTTGGCCTAGGCCCAGGCCAAGTATCTCATACTCAATAAAAAAAAACAAATAAAGATAGAGAATATAATAAATCCCTGATCGTCTCCACGGTTGAGAAAATTCTATGATTTCTCTTCTTACGCTGTGGTCCGTAGCTCACTAAAATAAGCCAAACCCTCAGAAAGGGACAAAATTACACTAAAATGGCGTTTATTGCAGTCGACAAGCACTTAAAGGCATGTAACGCTATGCAGTGCTATCATGGTTATAAACAGACATTTCTGTCGTAAATACATTTCAAATATAAAGGAAGTGACTTAAATCACAATTTCATGGGAAAGAACGCTAAAGCTTCAACATGAGTGAATACAACTATACAATCATGGAATCGTGGTTTCAGCCGTTTATTTAGACTGAAAAGGCGTTTACTACTCTCCACAAGCTCTCATATGTTATGAAAAGGTTTGAAACGCTATACAGTATTCTCTTAACGTAAAGACATTACAATGATTAAATCCAGACATTGTAGCCATAAAAAGGCCTTTTATATGTCATGGAACAGACAGCAAATCACATTTTCACGAGAATGAACACTAAGCTTTAATTTGGGTGATGAGACTTGTACAATACCGAAATCGTTATTGTAATGGTTAAGCTACTCTGAAAAGCCGTTTCCTGCACTTCACTAGCTATCATATCGTTTACAAAAGCCCTTTAAATGTAAAGGAACTGACCTAAAATCACATTTTCGTGAGAAAGACTACTAGACTTTTAACTTTAACACAAGTAAAAGCTTTAGTGTTCTTTCTCATGAAAATGTGATTTATGGTAAGTAAATTTACATATAAACTGTTTTTATGGCAGAAATGTCTGTTCATAATCATTACAATGTCTTCACATTAAGAGAATACTGCGTAGCATTTCGAGCCTTTGTAAAGCGTTTGAGCGCTTCTGCAATGCAGGAAATGCCTTTCCAGTGAAACTTAGCTTCTACAACAAAGAAATCAGTATTGTACACAGTTCGTAACCCATGTTAAAGCTTTAGTGTTTATTCTCATGAAAATGTGATTCACGATCAGTACCTATACATTGAAAGTGTGTTTTATGGCAAAAATATATGTTCATAATGATTATAATGTCTTCAGATTAAGAGGATCCTGTATAGCGCTTGTAGCCTTTCTAAAGCGTTTGAGCGCTTGTGGAGTGCAGTATACGCCTTTTCAGTGAAAACAAATGCTAAAACCAAGATTGAATGATCTAGTAGCACAGATCTAGTCACACAAATAAATGCTGTAGTGTTCTTTCTCATGAAAATGTGATTTACGGTCAGAAATTGTACACGAAAAGTGTGTTTTTGGCAGAAATGTCTGTTCATAGTCATAATAATGTCGTCGCGTATAAAGCATCCTGTGAAGCGTTTCTAGCCTTTGTAGAGAGTGTGAGCGCTTGTGGAGAGCACTAAACGCCGTTTCAGTGAAAACAAACTCCTTGAACCAAGTTTGAATGATTACACAGATCCAGTCACAGAAATAAATTCGTTAGATTTCTTTCTCATGAAAATGTGATTTTCTGTCAATACCTTTACATATAAAGTGTGTTTCATGGCAGAAATGTCTTTTCATAGTCATTATAATGTCGTCGTGTTAAGAGGATCCTGTACAGAGCATGTAGGCTTTCTAAAGCGTTTGAGCGCTTGTGGACTGCAGTAAACGCCGTTTC